GCACTGATATTTTCACAAATCTTGTGCTAAAAACAAACGGTTCGAAAAATGTTTGTTCTCTCTCTTGAATGTACTTGCATGGTTGAGTTTATAGCTGGCAGATATTTGCCCGGATGCATTGAGTATACATTCCAAGTGTTTATGTCTGAACCTTATCCAATCTAAATAAAGGTAGTTTAGTTCAGATTTTCCCCTGCAAGTGGTGCAACCAACACTCGGGACTAATATGGCACTCCCTATGAGACATGAGGAAAAATTGAAAAGACTTAATTAAAAAGATTTGTTTACGTATTTGACCTTGTGTTTTGTCCAAACCAGAAAAACATCATTTCTCACGACCTTATTTGGTAAAACACACCATTGCCATAAGCAATAACAATAATATTTGGTAAAACACACCATTGCCATAAGCAATAACGATAATTGAATTATAGTGTTACTAAAAGATCGTTGACCTTGTGCAAGCCAAGGCACATAATATTAATTTCATCCATACGATTAAATTATGATTTATGTGAAACGGCTTAAATATTCTACCATCCACTAAAAGATGGGCTAACATACGGATGGGTTAAGATACACAGTAGTATATTTGCGACAGCTGTAATTATGAATGTTTGTCGTAATGATATGATATTGTTACTACTGTCTACTACTCTGAGATAGACGTGGCATTTTTATTGACCCAATTAGACAATCAACATCATGTCAGTCATGTGAGTCATGATAGAATATGAAAGTAAACTCAATCTGCGAACATCTGTGAATGGGTATTTACAGTAATTCAATGAAAGCCAGAAAAGATCTAACATATGGTCATAGACATAGTCAATGTTAGGTTGAAGTTGATATATTTTACTAGATCTAACAGTTACAATATATTAAGAAGAATAGAAATGCATGAATATACTAAAGTAATGTGTACATACTATACTGTCCTCTTCACAGAGGTCTAATTTAATTTAAGTGGTTTCCGAGAAGATTAAATTATATGCAGATTATGCTGCAACAAGGGAATCCGGTATTATGTAACTGGGCGGAGTTTGGGCCCTGAAATTGCGATTATAAGACGAAATAAGACGAAAATTGTATAAATGACCTCCCATTAAATTTTCTCCCTTTGTCATACCAAGTGAATCCAATATCGTTATAACTGGGATCTTGAGTCAAATTGTAAGCATTCTTCTAAAATGCGAGGATATAATCGGACAACTACATGCATATGTTGCAGAGATCGAAGCCTCGTCAGACTCACAAAAAAGTCAAAATCACATGCACTAATCACTGTGCAACGTTCACCTTGTAAGATTGTTTGTGAAACTCGTTATAATTCGTGAAGAAAACACTACAGAAATCATGAGCGTGAAGGAGTTTGTATATATCTGATACAGAATCATGCTGATGTACGTAAACAATTTTCTCACCAAATATTCATTTATCTTAAACTGTTACAACACTGCCGCTCATGTTGTCATACATATATTTTGTAGCATAAAAATCACATGAACAAATGTCCCCAAACTTACCCTGGCGTTGATTTTAAAATTGAGTTCTTTAGTCGATCTTTCGCCACGATGTGTATGGACTTCGAGATCGTAATTATAACTGCATTGCAAACCTGGATATATTTCCAAATGCGTCACCGCATTTGTCAAGTAAAACGCAGAGAAAACTTGGATACAAATTGCGAACAGATACATTTCAGTACATCTCTTGTGTAACCTTAACTGAAAATGATTTGTATCTAAACTCCGAATTAGCAACGCTCGACAACAGTTGGGCGGCGTCTGTTAATTCGGCATCAATCAATTAATTACATCAACAAGGGGTGCTTTGCTGCTTTCTTATATTTAGACGTAAACATGCTGGAATTTCGTAGAGTCAACACAGACTTGGGGGTTGAGCTTAATTAAGTGCACTCTGCAGGACAGACTATTCGCGCATGTATCAGAGGACTATAGCTATATATTTGCCCTCGTTGGACAGATTAAAGATTGAAGGTAGGGAATACAGAGTTCTTAGCTTTTGACATAGCAAATTTTATACCAAATGCTAATTTATATATGTATATAAGTTAAAGTAAGTAAAGTCATCTTTTCACAGTGTTTATTAATGCTACACAGTGTTCGAACGCTCATCGAACATACACGGTGACTGAATACTCGTATGTTGAAATGGCAATGGACAACGGAAATTTATCCGGGTGACACGTTAGCACTGAAGAAGTCTGAACAAGTAAAACGTCTGCTGTTAAATATAACAATTTTAACTTGTATATATATAGTTTGATGCATACTCATTTTATTCTTGTGAAACTATAAATAGATAGATTTTGTTTTTTTAATCCCAGTGTAATACGCCGTAATATGTATAGGTTATTTTGAGGCAACGAGGGGATATGTGATTTATCACATACTTATTTTTAACATTGCGAGGTTGCGTTAATGAGTCAGAATAGACATATAATTCTTACTTAATGCCATATTGCCTTCGTTATGTTGTTTAATTCTCATTTTTTGTGCATTAAACAGAAATTGATTAGAGGGGATAAGAGCAAAGGAAACCGAGCAGGGTGAAAAATAAGTACTATTTACAACGATTGTGATGTATTGGATGAGAAAATTGAATTTAAATTTATAAATCAGCATGATTCTGTATCAGATACAGCTAATTCAAAAAAGGTTGCCCTTGGAAAACATCTAAACTTTAAACTCAGAGCGCGCAAAGCATAATGGGAGCATCAGTTTAGAAATCATATATTGGGCCCCATTTGTAAATATTTCCTTACGAGAACAATTCATTCACAGATTGGTGCAATATTAACTACCAGGCTTGAAACTTGTGCTCCCATTGAGCTTTGTGCGCTTAGAGTTTAACATTTCAGAGTTAAAGGTTTGTAAAGGACAACCTTTTCTGAATTGGCTGTATACAAATGTATACAAACTCCTCCACGCTGACGATTTTTTCTGTATTTTCTTCATGAATTATTCATGAGTTGCTCGGCTAAGGGATAATCCTTGAATAGTTGAACTGTGATTTTTCCAGAGCTGTAAACGGTTCATCTGATAAGTTTGGCAAAGTCTTAGTTTGGAATTGGTATGGATCATAGAATTAGTATGGAATTAGTATGGATCATAGACATGATAGTTGGAAAATTAGTAGTATGGAAATCTATATTACAAATATAATATAGAATAGTGTGCATGTACTATGGATTTAGTAATGCGAATATGATTTCATAGTATATTCATGTAGAATGGAAATAGTGAGGTTATATATACATGGTCGTTTATTGGTAATCAAATCATATAGTCTATCAGCCAAGCTAACGTCTTTTAAAGAGTTGCATATTTGCTATGGCAGAGAGAATATCATTGTAAAATACTGGGATTCAATTTCTGAAGAATCATTTGCCCACCATTGACCACTTAGCTTGGAAGCATTTGCGTCATAGTATATAAAAATATATCATTTATACTTTACGTGATCAAGAATGATATTATAATAACTTGCTGCGCAGACTGCGTTCTGTTTGCTGAGCATTTATAGACGCAACACATGGGGCAGGTTGTTCATAATATTTACATAAACTAAGTCCAGCAGAGGTGAGGGCCTAACCATTGGCCATTATAGTGCATACCTCAACACTGTCCATTGTCATAGATGACAGTATTGAACAACATAATTAAACCTTACACGTGATATAGATGTTCGTTACAATATAACTACACTGTACAATGTTAACTTTAAATATGCATGCATACAAATTCCTTTTCGTTGCCAAATATATCCTTTCATTTCAAATCAGATGAACTTAATACATACATATTTCTACCATCAATGTTCATATTCCAAATACCATCAATGTACATATCCACACCACTTCAAAACCCATTATTCAATATTCATCTTGCACCACCGAAACCTAAATAAATCTGTATACTTATAGTTTTAAATCAAGCGCAGATTTTCTTTGTTTTAAAAGGAGGGGTGGAAAAATTTCTAGTGTGGTGCAAGCGGCATCACTGAACGAGCTTCGGTAGGGGTTATGCGTTCGGGTTAAAGACTTTCACACAAAATAGGAGGGGTGAAGCGAAATTTTGGTGATATTGAACACTTTATAAACGGGTTTAGATAGATTCTAGGGGGGGGGGGGGCCCCTAACCCCACTAAATCCGCCTATGGTTTAAGTTATAATGAACAGGACCAAAGTTTCGTTGCAAAATGTTGTAAAATGCGGATTATATAGCCTTGCAAAGTTTGCCGTTTTTCAATTATTTTGTATTACGCACGGGAAATTGACAGTCCAATTGGGTGTTGGGGCATCAATTTCCCGTTTGTAGGTAATACAAAATGACTGAAAATTGCAAACTTCGCAAAGCGATATTATCCGCATTTTACAACATTTCGCAACGAAACTTTGGAATATTACTAATTTTGTGATGCTCTTTCAAGCTGTGATGAAAGTTTTGTCTAGATAAAAATTTAGTCTATAATGCAAATGGTCCATTATAAATCGAAACTTTTGCGAAATAAATAGACTTGGTGTTTTTGACAAAACAAAATAAGTTAATTAAGTAAAATAATTACCTTTTGGGAGAAAAATATCATTATCCTTAAATGGAAGAATTGAGGCCGCTAAAGAGTTTGCCCACTGTTTCATAGTGCAGTTCTATTAACTCTTTCCATATGTGTGTCTTGGGTGGTGAGTCAGAAACGCATACACAATCATAATAGTGAATGACGAACACTCAGGCAACTGTGCCGCCAATAAATTTGAACCAAGTAGTAGCGATTCGACTGAGTGTGGATTTTATTAAAAGATAATTCAAATTCATTATTATTCAATTAGGTTGTTTCATGGACAAGAAAATTTAACAAAGAAGAAATATACAAATAAGACTGAAAGGCTACTTCATCAAGAAGCAAAATCATTAGAGTTTAACAATCCCAAACAAGAAAAACACTCCGCACTACTCGATTCGAAAATCTAACTATAAATGAAGTTCATTCCATGCATCGCACTCCTGGTGTTCATACAGGTCACTGAAGGATGGTGGTCGTCTCGACGTAGGCGCAATCCCCCACCGCCGGGGCCACCGCCACCACCACCAAGTGACTGTGAAGTAGACGACTGGTCATCGTGGAGCGAGTGTACCCACCAATGTGGTATTTGGGGCTCCCAGACACGAACTAGGGAGAAGAGTGAAGACGAGCGTTATGGGGGAAAATGTCCATTTGAATTAGAAGAAACCAGTTCATGTAACAGACACGGGTGTAGTAATGGAGGAAGACTGAGCTATGGAAGATGTATCTGTTCGTCGGGGTGGACAGGGACGTGCTGTGACAGAGGTAGATAAAATAATGTTTCAAACTGTTCTTAGATTCATAAGGCCCGTTTACACTTGCAATTTTTGCTGCGATTTCTAGTGCGATTTTCTCCTTCTGATGCATGTGAACGAGTAGATGAATTATGAATATTCGGAGTACATGTACCCTCATCTGAACATTTATAACTTATCCACACATTCACATCCATCAGAAGAAGAAAATCGCAGCAAAAATTGCAAGTGTAAACTGGCCTATAGAGGTTCACCAACACACCATTAGTATTATTATCACCACAGGTTCACAACCACCATTTTCACCGTCACCATGACACCATGATCACCAAATCTCCATAATTATCATAAATCATCACCATCATTATCATTATCACCACCATCATTTACCATCATCTAGGAGTTTCCACAAGTTGCTCGGCACCATTTTGGCAACTTTTCATTTTATGAATAACTTTTGTTTTAAACGACAATTTTTGTTACTTCGAGCAACTTTCATGAATTTGAGTCATGAATTTGAGTCAAATTCATGAAAAGTTGCTCGAAGTTACAAAAGTTGCCGTTTAAAACAAAAGTTATTCATAAAATGAAAAGGTGCCGAGCAACTTGTGGAAACCCCTACCATCATCACCGCAAACACCATCATCATTGCGCGTATGACCACACAAACAGCAGTAAAATAATGAACAATAACATCTAACCACTGTCACATTTCCTCACCATTATTTAATTATTATACTTTTGTCGAGTATTCCACCTTGCATGTGTATTACATGAACTATAATCCGTTCAGCATATGTCTAGCCAGTCTAGGACTGGTAGTGATGATGATTGTGATGATGTGTAGTGTGTTGTAATATTGGTGGAGACATGGTAGTTATATTGTGTTTATGGTAGCGGTAATATTGACGGTGGAAATATCTCGTACGTACGTACGTACGTACGTGCGTATTGTATTCTGATTTGCATTTTCGCCAAATTTACAATTAGAACAATATTCAAAATTACCGGCAAATGGTATAGTTACGAATAAACAGTTGAAGAAGCTTGGAACTAAAAGTTTACAAAAAACGTCTAAAATTATGTATGAATTGAGTTTTCCTATCAAACTTAACTATTGGAATATTTTAACCATTTGTATTTTGACTGAAAGCAGTGAGCTTTCCGCCATCTTGGATTAATTCTTAACTTTAATGACGTCAAATGTGGGAATAGCCAGGTTAGCCTTATAAAATTGTTTCCAATTGACAGAGTAAAGATCAAATGTTGTTTAAGATATATCTGTTCAATTCGAGATTTTCAAAATTTTTGTTCATATTGAATTTGTCAAGATAAAGAGTTTGGGTGACCTCACTTGTGACGTAACATGCAGCTCACTGTTTTTAGACAGAATCTTTCAAGAGTTAACAAGATATGAAAAAGCTGTAAAAAGTCTTATTAATTATTTTAAAAGTTCTTTCAAATGAGAAACTAAATTTTTCTTCCCAACGCCCTTTAGCCAAAATATTGCTATCGTTAGTTAGAAGATACAATAAATATATAACGAGGAAGGCACCACCACAAATACCATGGCCACAACCATCTAATATTGACCCCATTAACATTTCAGATGTGAACGAATGCCTGCGAAGCCCGTGTCAGCACTATTGTTACAATGTTCCAGGCAGTTATACATGTAGTTGCGTTCCATGCTACACAAAGTATGGTACTAGGTGTCAACTGCGACAGTGCCGTATTAGTGGTACATGTTATAGCTACGGTAGAGTGAACCCCTGGAATCAGTGCCAGGTAATATACCGTATAGACTATTTCAACCTTTAATACTGAGCGCGGTTAGTAACCAAACTGAAGCAGCTTTATTTAATTCGTAGAATTATCAGTTTTAAAATCTCTTCCCCCTATGGATCCAGTCATGGCCATCCTTGTAATGTCCAGGGTTATTACAGGAGGAAACCTGAAGCTAACTTAAATATAAGCATTTAGGTTGCCTCAGATTTTCAAGAGTCGTCAACTATACAATCCAACTATACAGTCCTACAGAAAAGCGGAGTACAGATCCATTTCCACGCAAGAAAATTTTGTAAAATGTGATTGGCCGACACAAATTTTCCGTCGGAAAAAAATTTTGAAGTTGAAAATTTTCAACTTTTAATAATGATATTTTCAGAACATTTCCTGTCCACGGAAATTTTTCTTGAGTGGAAATGAGCCTAACCGGTAGATGAAACTCGAGGGTTTGGAAAACTTGAAGAACGTTTTTCCGACATGCAACTCATGAGATGATAGTGCACCATATTAATGTCAGGCGCGCACAAGGCGCGTGGCAAAATGCACATCTTGGGGAGATAAGGCTATGTGGCGATGCACGCGTGCGATTGCACTTCAAAGAGCAGGCGTGAGTCCGATTGAGATAAAAATATATCACATACGTGACATAAATATACATATTGCAAGACTCGCACCCTGGTAAAATAGCACATGCATTAATCACTGTATCACCAACACTATAGATTCGACTGTATTACTGTATACATCAATTTTCTACGTGTAGGATTGTCAAAGTTGGCAAAAGACGGCATGGACCAACAATAATGCGCTCTCTTGCAGTGATGGTAAATTATGTACGAGGAATGATCGATGCGTGAACGGCGCATGCATAGGTACCCCGTTCACGTGCAGATCATGTGAAAGATGTGATGGTAGTGGATGTCAGATCAAGCCCGGTTTCTGTGTGATCGATGGAAAATGTTACACAGATGGGAATATACGACCAGGAAAACCATGCCAGGTGAGCGGGTCACATTCAAAGCATTGGTCAGTATAGGTATGTACAGGTTGGTAGGTATAGGTAGGCAGGCAGGAGAGAAAGAACCGCATATGTGTAACTTTATTAGTGCTTATCCGCTATAAACGTATCAACATTGAAACCATTTTGAAACTTATCGATGCAATTAGCCATTCCGAAGTTAATAAGTGGAGTGGGGACGAGTATTAAAAAGTGCCCAAATTAAGAAATGAACCACATCACTAAAAAGACCACCTCAAAATTAGTAAATATACAAAGTTTGAAGACATTTACATGAATACCCTTCGAATAATAAGCTTTCGAAATGTACTGCAGTAATGAAATGTACTGCAGTAATTTATCGCTTCCTTTCTTTACACTATGTCTGCAAGATATCTTGTAACGATTAGCTCTGTTTTCTGTGCGCGAACATTGCGCAATTGACCAAGTCAGACAGCAACTGGAATAATTATGGCAATGTGCGTCTTGCGCAACGTACAAGCCGATTTATTAATTTTTTAAAAACAGTGAGATAATTATTAACATAACAAATTATATATAAACGAAGTTAATTATCAAAAGTTTGCACAGAAAAGGTGGGGTAATAGATATACGCCACGAGTCTCCTTGGGCAAAGGAGGCATACTCCATCCAATCGTTTAAAACAAGGTATCAGCAAATGCAGTGAAGTTTAAAACCTATAAAAACAACTCCCGAGCAAATCAGTGCGTGGATTATTATTAGCGACCTGACAGTTCGTGCCCATGCGTTAAACTGTCAGGGGACCGCCAACCTGCTAAAGTGGACATTTATGTAAGCCTTGCCCATGCACTAGCTCACAGAGAACGTAAAACTGTGATTATAAGTGACACGTACATTTCTAGTATCTTAATTAACACGCACATTAATCCTATATAATATCACGTCTTGCCCTTACGTCGACCTGACAAATTGTACTAAAAGTCCGAAATGTTTTATCAACGGGCAGCCAAAATCAATCCCTATAAAAAGCCCGACCTGTATAGTCGAAGTGTCTGATTTAAGTCACAAGCTAGGAGCACGAATATACCTACGGAAAGCGTCGGATTTCCAACGACCCATTAGTTTCACCTGTCGAAATGGCTGAAACGTTTAATAGCCATTTCTCAAATGTTGGGGTTGATCTTGCAGCTAAAATACCCGCTTCTGAGTATAACCCATAGGTCTATCTCACACTTACAGATAAAACGTTCAACCTGCAAACTCCTACGATTGATAGAGTCCACAGATTGTTGAAAACGACTGATGAAAAAAAATCTGTTGGTCTTGATAAAATACCAAATAAATTGTTAAAAATGGCGGCAGATGTGATTGCGCCTTCTTTAACAGAGATATTTACTAAATCTATTCATACTGGAATATTTCCAGATGAATGGAAGGAAGCAATGGTGTCGCCAGTGTATAAGAACGGTGCAAAGCATGATCCGAGCAATTATAGGCCTATATCTGTGATTCCAACGGTTTCAAAGATTTTTTAGAAAATTATCTTCGACCAACTTAATAAATATTTTAACAACAACAATCTGTTGACCACCTGTCAATCTGGATTTCGGTAATTGCATCGTACAGTAACAGCGTTGCTGGAGGCTACAAATAGCTGGTCTGTTAATATAGATAATGGTCTAATTAATGGGATTGTTTTCATTGATCTGAAAAAAGCCTTTGATACTATTGACCATCAGATAATTTTACAGAAATTAGAAAGTATCGACCATAATAGTTTAAAATGGTTCGAATCATATCTTACTGGCAGAACACAAAAATGCAAAGTTAATGATCGGCTATCAGGTTCGACGTCAGTAACGTGCGGAATCCTACAAGGGAGTAATTTGGGTCCTTTATTGTTCCTTATCTATATTAACGACCTGACAAACTGCCTCCATCACACCACTCCTAGAATGTTTGCAGACGATACAAATGTAAGCTTTGCATCTGATTCTCTGGAAGAGCTCCAAAGTGTCATTAACTGTGAATTAGAACGTCTTAAAAGCTGGCTTATTACAAATAAGCTCAGTTTAAATATTGCAAAAACAGAGTTTATGACCATTGGATCTCGACATCTAATCAATGCTACTCAAGGTAGTATAACCATTAAGCTTGATGGTAGTGAAATCAACAAAGTCGATACTGTTAAATCCTTAGGAGTACATATCGACAAACACCTTTCTTGGTCAACCCATATAGAGAAAATAACTAAGAAAATTGCTTCAGCCATTGGCGCATTAAAACGTATTAGACCATTTGTAAGTACGAGAACAGCTGTTCAGGTGTATCAAGTTATATGTAAACAACGAGTTTGAGTGTTTCATCAGGGGATCCAAACACGAGAAAACTGTATGAAACACGAGCGCGAAGCGCGAGTGTTTTATTGTTTTCGAGTGTTTGGTCCCCTGATAAAACACGAGAAACGAGTTGTTTACACAACATCTCAAACGAAAACATTTCATTGGCTTATATATATTATTATAGTATATTGTTGTGTTTTGACTTGAATTTGTAATTAGGATCTCAGTTATTAGATGAAAACCGTTTTTCATCCAACAACAGTGATGGTATATGATTTTTAGCGTGTTTCCTGCGGTATCCAACCTCAATCATGTGACGAATTAGGGTGAGTTCATTCGCTAATTTGCTCATGAATTATTAATGAGTTTGAGATGCCTTGATACAACCTCATTTTGACTACTGCTGCTCGGTCTGGGACGGTTTTGGAGAAACTCTCAGTAATAAAATACAGAAACTACAGAACCGAGCAGTAAGAGTCATTACGAGGTCGCACTATGATACAAGCGCTAGTTCTCTTTTGAATAATTTGCACCTAGACAATCTTTGTTTACGACGCAAAAAGATTAAGGCTGGAATTATGTTTAAAATAATCAATAGTGGAATAAACAAACAACGTAGTGGAATAAACAAACAACGTAGCGGAATAAACAAACAACGTAGTGGAATAAACAAACAACGTAGTGGAATAAACAAACAACGTAGCGGAATAAACAAACAACGTAGTGGAATAAACAAACAACGTAGTGGAATAAACAAACAACGTAGCGGAATAAACAAACAACGTAG